CAAAACGCCATAACTTCCGAACCGGAAGTCGGATCGGAATTTGATTTGCAGATTTGGATTCCTGACAAAATTGTACCTCTAATTCATTTGGCGAATTTTTATTTTGACCCACTTTTCGGACACGCCATAACTTCGGAACCGGAAGTCGGATTGAAATTTAGTTTGCAGATTCGAATTTCTGAGAAAATTTTATTCTTAATTCATAACTCAAACGTTAAATTTGGAGAACTTTTTATTTTGACCTACTTTTCGGATACCATATCTCAAAAGTGGGTCAAAATACTTTCTGACGGCAAAAGGCTAACGCTATTAGCACACTCTTGGCTACATGTATACACAATTTTGAGGAATATAATTAAAGTGTAGTGTCAGAATCGCAAAAAAAGGATAAACTATGAATTTGACCTAGATTTTGACCTAGGGATTTTGGTGTCCAAATTTTGAAGTTAGGTAGCCTTCGAGGTTCCCTTCTTTCATAGGCTTTCATTATTTTAAGCTGTACTTAGTCTATATCTCGTATTTTACACTTCAAAAAAAATCTTTTTTCCCATTGACATAACATGGGGCACCAAATTTAGCGATTTTTGAGCTTTCAAAATGACATTACTTCCGAACCGGAAGTCGGATCGAAATTTGGTTTGCAGATTCGGATTCCTGGGAAAACTCTATACTTAATTCATAACTCACACGTTAAATTTGGAGATTTTTTTATTTTGACCTACTTTTCGGACACCATATCTCAAAAGTGGGGCAAAATACTTTCTGACGGCAAAAGGCTCACACTATAAGAATACTCTTGGCTACATGTATACAAAATTTCGAAGAATATAATTAATCTGTAGTGTCAGAATCGCAAAAATAAGGAAAAACTTTGAATTTGACCTAGATTTTGACCTAGGCATTTTGGTGTCCAAATTTTAAAGCTAGATGGCTTTTGAGGTCCCATTCTTTTAATAGCTTTCATTATATTTAGCTGAACTCAGTCTATATTTCGTATTTTTCACTTCGATAAAATCTTTTTTCCCATTGACTTAACATGGGCTCCAAATTTAGCGATTTTTGAGCTTTCAAAACGCCATAACTTCAGAACCGGAAGTCTGATCCAAATTTCGTTTTCAGATTCGGAATCCTGAGAAAATGTCCTATAAGACTAATATCCTGGACATTTAATTCGGAGAACTTTTTTTTGGACCTCGTTTTCGGACACTGATATCTCGAAATCGGTTTGAGATATCAAAAAACTAAATCGACCCTAGGTTTTCTACTTTTTTATAAGGAACACAATGAAAAAAAACCGGATCGAAAATATTGAAGGACGACCGAGAAAATCGAAAAAAGTGACAAACTACTGGATTTGACCTAGTTCTTGACCTTTGACCTAGCTAAAAATTTGACCCAATTTCCGAGGAACTAGATTCTGGACCTAAATTAACCAAATGACTGACTTCACTGAAAACCTTATGGTTATTGAGAAAACTGGGTTAGAATAAGAATAAGAATAAGAAGAATAAGAAAACTGACGAGAACAATAGACTCCAGATTTTCAATCTGGAGTCTAATAATAACTAGATTTTGGAAATTGAACGAAGTTCAATTTCAGACTCCAGATCTAGACTTTTTTTTAGCCGAGTCATCCAGAATAAGCCGAGTCATCCAGAATAAGCTGAGTCATCTAGAAAGAGATGGATAAATAAAATAGGAAGGTAGGATAGGATAGAATAGGAAAGAACGATAGGATAGAATAAGAAAGAAGGATAGGATAGAATAGGAAGAAAGGATAGGATAGGATAGGATAGGAAGGAAAAGATATGAAGGAAGGATAGATAGGAAGGATAGGGTAGGATGAGATAGGAAGGATGGATGAATTTTTCAATATTTTCTTCTCTACTCTTGACTTTCTATCAGGATACCATCAGATCGATTTTTCTCGAAATTTCAAAACGCTATCACTTCCGAACCGGAAGTCGGATCGAAATTTGGTTTTCAGATTCGGATTCCTGACAAAATTCTACCCCTAATTCATAACTCATAAGTTAAATTTGGAGATTTTTTATTTTGACCTACTTTTCGGACACGCCATAACTTCCGAACCCGAAGTCGGATTGAAATTTGGTTTGCAGATTCGGATTCCTGACAGAATTCTACCCTTAATTCATAACTCATATATTCAATTTGGAGAACTTTTTATTTTGACCTACTTTTCGGACACCATATCTCAAAAGTGGGTCAAAATACTTTCTGACGGCAAAAGGCTAACACTATTAGCATATTCTTGGCTACATGTATACACAATTTCGAAGAATATAATTAAAGTGTAGTGTCAGAATCGAAAAAATAAGGAAAACCTATGAATTTGACCTAGATTTTGACCTAGGCATTTCGGTGTCCAAATTGTGAAGCTAGATGGCTTTTGAGGTCCCCTTCTTTTAAAGGCTTTGATTATATGAAGCTGAACTCAGTCTATATTCCGTATTTTTCACTTCAAAAAAATATTTTTTCCCATTGACTTAACATGGGCACCAAATTTAGTGATTTTTGAGTTTTCAAAATGCCATAACTTCCGAACTGGAAGTCAGATCCAAATTTCGTTTTCAGATTCGGAATCCTGAGAAAATTTCCTATAAGACTAATATCCTGGACATTTGATTCGGAGAACTTTGTTTTGGACCTCGTTTTCGGACACTGATATCTCGAAATCAGTTTGAGATATCAAAAAACTAAATCGACCCTAGGTTTTCTACTTTTTTATAAGGAACACAATGAAAAAAACCCGGATCGAAAATATTGAAGGACGACTGAGAAAATCGAAAAAAGTGACAAAGTACTGGATTTGACCTAGTTCTTGACCTTTGACCTAGATAAAAATTTGACCCAATTTCCGAGGAACTAGATTCTGAACTTAAATTGACCAAATGACTGACTTTACTAAAAACCTTATGGTTATTGAGAAAACTGGTTTAGAATAATAAGAATAATAATAATAGGAAGAAAACTGACGAAAACAATAGACTCCAGATTTCATCTGGAGTCTAATAATAAGAATAAGAATAAAGAAGAATACTGGCAAAAACAATAGACTCCAGATTGACATCTGGAGTCTAATAATAAGAAGAAGAATAAGAAAACTGACGAAAACAATAGACTCCAGATTTCATCTGGAGTCTAATAAGAATAAGAACTAGACTTTTGAAGATTGCAAGCAATCTCACGGAGGCCCTCTTAGGCATTTTTGACAATTTGAAGGTCAACTAAAGGACAAATATCAAATCTGAGGTCAGCTTTGGACTCATGGGAACTTGTAGATGATTTTTAAAAAAAAAATTGGTCAGATTGAAGCAAGTTGAAAAATGACATTTTTCGACCGTTTTTTGACGTCAAATATCTCAAAAACGGTAAAAATTTAATGCTGACATCTAGTGAACAATTTGTAGAAAATACTAAAATGTAGTTTCAGTTTAATTCATCGCAAGTAATAATGAAGTATAAGGACAAAGTTGAGAAACTTAAAAAAAAATTAGATTTGACCTAGATTTTGACCTTTGACCTTATTTGATAACCATGACCCTTGACCTTGAAAATATTACTGTTTTAGAGCTCAGTAGGTCTTTTATGCTTAGGCTAACCCTAAATTTGAATCCAAAAGCTCGATTTGAAAAATCAACTTCTCTGACCTTTCGAAGGTCACCGAAGGTCACCGAAGGTCAACTAAAGGTCAAATGACAAATCTGTGGTTAAATATGAACTACTTAGAAGTTGTAGATGATTTTCAAAAAAAATTGGGTGAATTTGAAGCAAGTTAAAATTTGACCTTATAAACTCTGAAAAATTGACCTTTTTCAGTTTTTGAGCTCTTATATCTCAAAAGTGGGACAAAATTTTAATAAATAGTCAATTGCTAATATGTGTAGAACCCTTAGAGGAATGTATATCTTGACTTTCAATTAAAAATATTGATTTGTAGTCTTGAACTATGAGAAACTTAGATAGCACAGTTTGTGACCTAATTTGATGACCTTGACCTTTGACCTTGAAATTTTTACTTTTTTAGACCTCAGTAGGCTTTTTGTAATTAGACTGACCTAAATTTGAATCCAAAGACTCAATCTGAAAAATCAAATTTTCTGACCTTTCGAAGGTCACTGAAGGTCAACTAAGGGTCAAAGGTGAAATCTGAGGTCAGATTTGGACTCCTGGGAACTTGTAGATGATTTTTAAAAAAAAATTGGTCAGATTGAAGCAAGTTGAAAAATGACCTTTTTTGACCGTTTTTTGACGTCAAATATCTCAAAAACGGTAAAAATTTAATGCTGACATATAGTGAACAATTTGTAGAGAATACTTTAATGTAGTTTCAGTTTAATTCATCGCAAGAAATAATGAAGTATAAGGACAAACTTGAGAAACTTAAAAAAAAACTTAGATTTGACCTAGATTTTGACCTTTGACCTTGACCTAGATATGAAATATTTTCCCATCAAGATCAAACCAGGTATCTAGTAGGAGCATATAGTAGAAAGTTGAAAGCTAGTTGAAAGTAGGAGAAAACTGCTTTGATAGAATAATAATAAGAAGAAGAATAAAGAAGAAAGAAGAAAGAAGAATAAAGAAAAGCTACAAAAGCTATAGGAGGCCCTTTCAGGAGGGCCTCCTAATAAGAATAAAGAAGAATAAAGAAAAGCTACAAAAGCTATAGGAGGCCCTTTCAGGAGGGCCTCCTTAAAAGAAAAGCTACAAAAGCTATAGGAGGCCCTTTCAGGAGGGCCTCCTAATAACGTTTAAAACTTATGCCCCGGTCACATTTGCTCCGATTTTCTCTACGGCGCCCGGCCGATTGAGTATTTTGTTCAAAATCGAATTACAATATTGAACAAAACATTCAATCGGCCGGGCGAACTTGCCCTTACATTTCTTATTTATATCACACCACGGTGGCTCAAATGCGACCATGGAACTTAAGTGAGGTTCATTCTTTATTTACAAACAAAACAACAAGGTACGCGTTGCTTACTTTTTATCTCCCGATATTTTATTGACGCTCATATTATCGACAAATCTTCATATTATCGACAAGTCCATCTTCTATTTTGATTTTAACAACATATTTTGTACCAGCCCAAGTAAACATATTACGCTTCCAATGTACACCGTTCTTATTGGGCGCCTGTGCCCCGAGCAATGAATCTGTAGGTCTGAAAAGAGCTTGCCAAATAAAAATGGGTTTAGTGTTTTGATTCAATGGGGGTTTGTTTAAAAGCCCACATGATTGGCCAGTGAGTGGATGGGATGAATGTGTCCAACAATTGATCCTATCGAACGTTGAAAATTTCAAATTCGTATTATCTCTCCCTGCTCCCACTTTTATATCAAAAGGGCGAGATGGGTCTGAAACTTTGGAAACTTTTAAGAGGCTTGGGTTAAAACTATCATCTGCCCTAACGTGGAAATTAACATCAGAGTCTATGACGTAATCGAGAATATGAAAGTCCGAGATTGCGTCGATATGTCTCTGTTGGAGCAATACAATAGGATCCAAGTTTGCAATTGATTCTCTATAGTTCCAGTTTTGTCCCAGTCTGCCAAAGTGAAGCCATACTTCCCCTGCTCTGTTAATCTCACGGAAAACATGATGGTAAGCCCCGCTGTTACCACGGATGTTGATCCACTCGCACTGACCTGAAACAATGAATTGTACATGTTCAACAGTAGAAATGCAAGCCAGTACAATCAC